TGAGTTGTTGGAGAAGGAAGATCCAATTATGACATTACAACCTAGCAGATTTAACAGTTGAAACACTATATATCATTGGGCCACGAGGGAGTGTCGTCAATGAGTTGTTGTGTTATGCTTGATGGGGTCTTTACTTGTTAGAGGTAGGTTTATCCTTCTTGGAACCTTTTTGGATAATTGATGATAATATGTTTGGAATTTGAATATATATGTTGACAAGTGATTGATGAGATTTTTAGCCTTGGCTCCTTCTTTGCATTACGTGGCTGCTTTATCGTTTCACTCATTTCCATGACTTCATTCTCATCTCAATCCTCTAGGTGTACGCAAATTTGCCAATTATTGTGAGCCATTTGTTATATTTGTGTATTTGTACTTTGAGCATAGGTTAATTCCCACGCTATTGCTTAATTTGTCAAAATTCACCTGCAGGAATATCTCAGAGGCTTCTAGCAGAATATGATTTAGTACATACGTCCTCCTCTAAAATGTTCCTTTTCCTTGCTTAGACAACAGTTTAAGCATCACCGTCAGCACAAAAGCAACTTTTCTTCATGCCTTGTCATTGTCCCAAGCTATTTTATGAGGGATTCTCTCTCCAAACCTGTAACCAAAAACTAAATTAATCATCACCACACACACCTCACTAATGTTTTTCCTATATTACTATGAAGGCATAACGTTAAACATAATTATCTTTCTAATGATAATTACATTTTCATCTGAATCTCTCCGAATTCATATGGGAACTTGGATCAATGACAAGTATGGATAATGTCAATACAGAAGACTTTTGATTCCACTTACAAATGCCTGCTTCCTTAAGGCATCGCATTGATTTGCCAGTTAAATTACTGACTCATAGGGTGCCGTAGAGACTTTTTTCGAAAGGGTCCTTAGGGGCAGGACCACTTGCATATGGAATGGAAGGTAGTAAAAAATATCAGTGAATGAATGATAAATACTTTGAGGACACCTGTGTCATTTCAGAAATCCCGTGTTATGCATCCTTCAATGATAACTAATTTGTCACAAGAATTAATTACAAAACAACATAAGAATAACTCTCACAGTTCAATATTTACTCCATTCATATCTAACCGATTTTAATTTTTTAAGATTCTGAATATGGTGAGACTTCTTTTTTTTTTTTTTTTAACTACAGGGAAAAAGGTTGAACCTTTTTTGGGCCGGAGTATATATTATGTGTTTTTGGGGTAAATAATTTGTCTTTCCAAATAGGTCCTCTGAGCCCAATCTACTTTGAAACTTCCATGGCAAGGAGTTACCCAAACACGGGCCTCTGTATGAGGCCTAACGCATTAAGGTGTTCGTAAGAGGCCCAAAGTCCATAAAATTGCCAAAAAAAGAAGAACAAAAAACTGAATATGGACCCTTTTGGCATAATAGGAAAAATGAGCATAAAACACTTGAATTAAAAAAAAAAAAAAAAAGAATCCACCCGCGGCGTTGTCACCGTTTTGGCCTGGGTGTCCTCCCTATCGCCCTTGGACGCTGCAAATTGCTCCGCCGCTTCTCTCAGCATGGCGAAAAACAGGAACAAGAAAAAGAAAAATGGTGCCGTATCAATGGATATGAGCGAGCCATCCACTGGGGAAGTTCCTCAAGGTACTTTCTGTAGCAACTCAGCAGAACCGTGGTCTTTACTTTCTGCAGCAACTCGGCAGAACCGTGGTCTTTCTTTCTTTCTTTCTTTTTTAATTAAAATTATGAATGGAAAATAAGAAATTTGGTTCTTTAATTGTTGATCTAATCGCTTCTTACTTGCTGTCTCTGATTACTGAATATCGGGTGCTCTTGATTTGATTGTCTTGTAAGCCTTTCCTGTTTTATATGAAGCCGCCGTAACTGTTTTCTTGTAGAAGTTAGCCTTCTGCACTTGTTAAACCTTGAAAATTTCCCCCCTTTTATGTGCAGCAATGGACACATCAGAGTCCGGAGCTCAAGGCCCAGTTTCTGGTGCTCCCAGCATGTAAGTATTGTATTTTCTGCGTTATCATTGGGAATGCTGAAGGTTACTGGTCCTGTAGAGAGGTTAATTGGCATCTATTTTCCAAAGTTTCAGTTTTTTAGGAACGTCATAAAATAGTCTCTCAAATGTCATATCCGGACACCGCTACAACAGCGCTGGCTCCACTCCCACTTACCAAGACCTCTGAAGGAAAAGTAGCTTAAGTAATAATTCGTTCCAAAAATGTTTGCGGATATAGTTAATTTTCCCACGTTTTTTCAATGGACATCTGGATGTTTTGGAGTTTCATGCTTCTTCATTCAGCACAGTTTCTCTAAATTTGTGTTCAACTATCTTGAGGCGGGTTATTATCACATTGACACTGAACCATTAATGCATGGTTTTAAAGATGAAGGCTAGGCAGCCCATTAGTCTGAACTCTGTAATGTTTATTAAACCAACATTTGGCAAGTATAAAACTTGTCATCCGAAGAATTTGGTATTTTAATAACGTACTTTCGTTATATTTGTCCTTCCAGGTTACTGCACACAGATTAAAAAATGCAATAAATATGTAAAAATATAATGTTTTACCAAATTTGTGTTCACCCATCTTTAAATCTTAGGTGTTTTCTTTCTGTAAGGTTGGTGTACGATATAGAGTATTGGATGCTATTTAATCAGCATACCAGTGACTATATTCCATGACAGTTTATTCAGTGACACTTCACTTCATTACTGGTCAGAACGTTCCATGGTTAACTCTTTCCAAACTGCTTGGCAATCAGGTTTTGGTACTAATTGTTGAGTGTTCAAGAGGGAAGGGGACTATTGAATTTCTAGAACCAACCTACTTAAATATCTCTTAAATCATCCCATATTATTCAGTGTGAAACATAGGCGTCACATTCTTCTCATCCCATCTTTAGTCCACCCCGGATTGATGTTTTCTCCAATTCCTAAACCCAGTCGGTCAATCCCCACTAGTTGGTGCTCATAGAAAATGCGGTTGTGCTTGACTGAAGAGTGTGTTTATTTGTTCATGTATCTGTGCAATGAGAGGAGTAAAAGGAAGGCGGAAGAGTTACTAGTGTTAGGGATTTTGGACATTTTTTGTTGGCTAGGGATTGAGCTGGGTCAGACTTGCGTATTCAGCAAACTCATGAAGCTGTGAGTTTGCTGCAAATTCACAAGTTCAGTCAAACTCGCGAGAATCAGATTTTGGCAATGTTCTGGCTGGTTTTCCATTTGTGTTGATGAGCGAACTGCAACTTTAACAATATCTTCACACCTGCTTTTTGTCCTTGCTACTCGACATTCCATTTTCATGTCTTGCATATTATTTCCAACATTTTATGCTTGAATCTTTGTCACCCTTCACTCAAATATTAACATCACTCTCTGACAAGAGTCTAAGAGTACTTTTTGTGTGTGTGTATGTGTGTTTCTCTCTTTTTGAGTTTTTGCTGCTCTGAAATTTGTTTACTTGGTTTTTTGCCTCCTCTGATTAGGGGTGTCTTCTGAAACAGGAAGATAAAGAAAGGAAGGCCTCTGAAGAGATCAAAAAATGTCCGAAAGATGAAAGCAAGAGAAAAAGCTATATCTGCAAGTGAGAAGGCCGCTGAGAAGATATCAAAGAACGAAAGTAAAAAATTAAGAGTTCAATCTGCCAAAGTCCTGTATGACTGAATAGCTGGACGGTTGACATCATTACTTGGAAAAGTTTCTTTTTTTTTTTTTTTTTTGAGGTGAAAGTTTCATACTTTTTGGTCGATCACTGAAACGTATGCATGCCGTATCGTCTACAGTTGAACGCTAATTTAGGGGTCAGTTTTGAGTATTGCAAGTGCCGTTTGGTTGCATCATTTTATGAGTTGCAAGTAATGTGGATTCAGGAAAACTTGCAGCGTTTGCTATCTGTTCTTACGCAGTGTTTTGAATTCTTACAAAAGTATTTTTTAAAAGTATTTTTCTGTAAATCGAGACAAATTCTTTCACATATTTATTTTGTACTACCTCCGGTTTTTAATACAAGATTTTGTTTGACTTTTATTTTGGTTCTAAATATAAAACTCTAATTCACTTTGTCTGTCATATTTATAAATTTTTTTCTAAAGTAATTTTTTAACAATGATAGTTATAACCAATACACTTGATTAGTAAGGATATTTTAGTAAAAAAACAATACATATTTGTTACAAATAACTAATTTAATTTTTTTAATCTCCTCAAATTAATCAACTAGTTCTAATTAGAATCGGAGGCAGTATATCGTAAAATCATTTCTAAATTATGATTTGGTTCTCTAAACACCTCATGAATGAAACTAATCAAAAACCCTGGTGAAAAAGAACCCGACGTTGAATTTGAAAAACTGTTATTGAAGTTATTAATACCCTGTATTTATCCGATGCTGGCGAAAAATTGCATGGCCTTGTTCAAGAAATATTCATCCTTTGTCAGAAACAGATATTTTTTTAATACTACCTCTGATCCTTAATATAAGATTCTGTTTGATTTTTATTTTGGTCCTAAATATAAGACTCCAATCTATTTTGTCTCTCATATTTATACATTTTTTTCAAAATAACCCTTCTAACAATGATAATTCTAGTCAATACACTTGATTAGTAAGGATATTTTAGAAAAAACATCTATTTAAAACAAATAACTAACTCAACTTACTTCTTTAATCTCCTCAAATTAGTCAACTGGTTCTTATAATTAGAAGCGGAGGTACTAATTGTTAATTTCATTTAAACATGTCCCAGATTTTGAATCCTTTGGTTTGGGAAATATATTTATTATGTTTATTTAAAACTTTTGATTTATAAATAAAATCTCTGAAAAAAATCACCTGGAAGAACGCGAAAGCGCAACAGCGCTAGTCGTTTGGAAGCTCGCATGCCCGTGCGTGAAGTTGCGTCCCGCACGGTATTCCTATCTTTCTTTCTCCCATTCGTAACGTCATTAAATATCCAGTGGCATTACTGACGTGCGCTTCGAGGAACCGCTAGTATAAATCAACGCACTTCACTCTATTAACAATTTTACCGAATTGAACTCTTTCTTTAGAGTCCCCATTTGGTCGTTGAGTAAGGGAGGGAAATTGAAGTGAGTGAGAAAGATAACGTAAGAATTTTTATTTTTTATTTTTAAAGCCTGCAATTTTATTGTGCTTACTCCGCAGCTCTGAGCTTGAGTTAGCTCCTAGTTTCTCGATTTTGTCGAACAAAAACATATGGGCAACGAAATGTTTTAATTGCCCTTTAGCTCCGATGTTTCTGCTGCGAGTTTGAATTCTATGCTGCCGGGAACGTTTGTCTTTTGTTTTATCAATCTCGAATTTTATTTGATGTTTGACGCAGATGAGTCTCGGTATCAGCTACTATGGAGGTCATGGTCTTCCATCTTTGAGAATATCTAACTGCAATATTGACCAAGATAGCCGTAACAGTAAGTATATCAAATTCTTTTGTTTCATTTTGCGCTTCCGTTTTGATAGTAACCTCTGGGTAAGCGATCTTTGTCTACGTAGCATTCTAGTTCTTCTCCTTGTTTTTTTTTTGGTAGGAATATTTTGTTTGGTTCCATTATGTCTTAGAAAGGCCTGCAAATTTTCAGCTTGTGACATCGCCTGCCATACATATTTTCAGTATGATAATAATTTTAATAATAAGTTCTGTGCATAATTTTGCTCTTGATGGAGATTGGAGAAAGAGAAAATGCGGATGTCAGATCACACATGCGTCATTTAGTTATTATCAGGTTCAGGGATAAAAAATAAATGCTAAGGGTGATATTTACCATGTAAATAATATCTTCTATCTGCTTCCTGAATGACTTTGAAGTCATTCTAAGACAGTGCCCTCCCATTTGTTTGTTTGTTTGTTTATTCTAGGAAAATCTGTTGTCCCCATGAACGCGCACAAGAAAATTTCCAAGCCTGAGAATCTTTTACCATCAAGTTGGAAGGTTGACAGCACCAGCATAATGGCCGTGATAGGTTCCATCACAGGTAATGGCTTTGATCTTTTGGTGATTGTGCATTGTGGAGTATGTTATCAGATATCACTGGCTGTTGATTAATTGTAACGGTGAGCATTTTTTTTATCTCCATGCTTTTCAGTGGCCAACTTGATTGCACCAGTTGCTGCGAAGGCTGTAAGTACAGATAAGTCTGTTCAGGAGCGTACGTGCATGAATACATACATATATATATATATATATATGAAATTCATTTTTTCCAAGTCGCAGAAACGTTTTAGAAGACTGCTAAACATCCATTCTACTATCTATATTACAAAATAGACAAGTAGTATTGCATAGTGCATTACCAAACATGAAATTGGAGGGACTACGTGAGTTTTTTCCCTGGTCCCTTTTGTGGGTATGGACAAATCATTCACAATGAACCTTTAAGAATAATTGCAATAGTTCAAATTTATCCTGTTATACATTTAAAGCTATTATTTGCATTAAATGTAAGTCTAATTTTTTCCTTTATAAACTTATTAGTTGACTTATTAAGAAACTAGTCTGTTCTTTCTACATTCAAGTCATAGACATTGTATACATCTCAGGAATTGTATTTATTTCCTTTCAAGTCAGGAAGTGATTGGTTCCGTTTATGCTTTGGCTGATGGAAGCTTGGGTGATTGGTTTGGAGGCTTGCTATATTCAGCCGGACAACAGGCCAATGTAGCTGTTCAAGATCAATTAGGTTCTCTCAGCTTCACCAGGTACTTCATAAATTATCCTATGCATTTTTATTATCGATTCCAACACCCCCCGGGGCGAAGATCTGATGCTTATGCTTATGTTTTCTTCTTTGCTGCATATTCTTATTTGCAGTTTAGCAGTAATTTATGGGGCGGGGCTTGTTACCAGCCTTTCACCCTGTACACTAAGTGTCTTACCTCTAACTCTTGGTTACATTGGTGAGTTTGCTTCTGTTATGCACTCAAAATACGAATTCTTTTCAAATGCCTAAATTTTTGAATTGGAATCTGGCAGGGGCATTTGGGTCTGGCAAAAGCAGGGCAGAGGTAATTACCTGGGTAGTTTGTTTCAGCATAAAAAGGCTCATTCTCTTGTTCTTCTTACCTCACTTCATTGCCTAAGTTGAATGTTATTGTTCTCAAAGGCCTTCACTAACAGTGACAACTACAAGTGTATCCAAGATGTTGGCTTGTGCTTTGCATCGTTTCCTCCACTTGTCTGAATTCCACTTCATGATTGCACGCACATGAGCAACAGGTATATTTCTCACTAACAGTTCTGTCTTCTTGCTGACAGGTTATTGGTGATTCTGTGGCATTTTCTTTAGGTCTTGCCACCACATTAGCACTGTTGGGTGTAGCAGCATCATTTGCTGGAAAGGCTTATGGACAGATAGGCCAAGGACTACCTTTGGCCGCTTCTGGTCTGGCAATAGTTATGGGTCTGAACCTTCTTGAGGTATCTTTTCTTCATTTTCACCTATGTCTATCTGTTTGATTTTAATGGGTTCGAGTGGAGGGCCACATAAAGGTCAAACTATCACATAGAAAAAACAAGAGTTGTTTTAATCTTGACCGCTCATGCAAGATCTAATGATTAGAATTTGCTGCTCTAACGCTTATGACTCATTTATATATTTAGATGTTTCACAATATGTTAATCTTTTGAAGAATTTCACTGGCTTAGACCTGCCTCAGCAAAGTCTTGTGAAGTTTATTGTTGAGAGAAATTTTATACTCAGAACTGTTATGATCAACATTATAGATTCTCAATATTTGGACCATTTTTTGTCAGTCACCTTTAATTCTGGGCATGTTCGTTGGTGCCCTTCAGATTTAGTTTGATATTATTGGTTTTCTAAAGTGAGAATCCTTTGAAGCTAACCAACTTAAAAGATTTCTCTGAACAAATGTTCTACTCTATTTTTTGGTTCTCACCTTGAGCAAATTTTACAGATCATTGAATTACGGCTTCCCTCATTTTTTGACAATTTTGATCCACGTGCAGCAGCTGCCAATTTACCATCAAGTAAGTTGATGATCATTACATTGAATTAGCTTCTTCAATATGCATTTTCATGCAGAGCATATGAAGAAATGATCTCATTTAGGTGTGCAAGCATATCTAGCTGGGCTTACCTTTGCTCTAGCTGCCTCACCCTGTAGTACACCTGTGCTGGCTACTATTCTGGGATATGTTGCTGCGTCAAAGGTATTCCACATTTCTTTTGTCTTGATTCATATGCTGTTTACTATGCATGTTACGTCCAATCGCCCCCCTCCCCCACTTTGGCCCCTCACAACAAAAATGGGAATTTACTTCCGAGAAAAAGCTTCAGCACTTCAATGTGGTAGGTTACCAGGGCCCAACATATGAAGGAAAGAGCTCTTCATTATTCCTTGCTGACTACATTGTCTTGCAGGATTAAAAAGAACCAACAACTATCGTGTGGTACTTCTGCTTAGTCAGTGCAAATAACTTAGAAATGGTTCAAGTGCATTAATACCATGGCTGACAATAAAGAAAAAGTGCATTAGTCGTGTAAATGTATCATATTATAAATATCCATTTAATTACCTACATGCACATCTCATTTATTTATTTGCTTAAATTCAGTATACTCACATCGTCACTCCTATGAAAATGACAAGAACAATATTTTCTTCACAGGATCCAGTGATTGGAGGTAGCTTACTTTTGACATACACAACTGGTTATGTTTCTCCTTTACTCTTAGCTGCTTCTTTCGCTGGGGCATTACAGGTTCGTATATGATATTCTGGTTTATAAAATAGTCTTAGGTGGCATTTTGTCTGAGAGCATTCTTATATTCAAGTACTTCGAAAACTATTTGCATAAAACTAGCGCAAGAGAAATGTGTAAAAATTAAATACTTCAACATACGCAAGTATGCAACCCAGAAACCTTCGCATTGTTAGATCCGGTGCTTAAATACTTGGTAAATACCAAGTCTTTAAGTGCTTGGAAAGTCAAAATATCTGTGTACAAAACAACACTTTAAGATCTGTTAGACCAGGATATGCTGTTGAAAACTGAATTTCTTATCCAAATGTGGATTGGCAGAGCCTGCTTTCATTTCGCAAGTTCTCAGCATGGATCAATCCTATGAGGTAATATTTAAACTTCGAGGGTCAGAAGAGGGAGAGAACTCATCATTTTTTCGGAACACTTTTATCATTAGGCTATTACAGTCATTGTCTCACACCTACTCTACTACTTTTGTTGTTTCTGATGCGCATTTCAATTCTCTTGTTCCACAGTGGAGCACTTCTGTTAGGAGGTGGTCTGTACACTTTCATGGATAGGGTATTCCCAACAACAATGGTGATGTAGAATAAGGAGGAATAAACATCTCTTAGGTCGTAAGTTCTCAATGGATTTGGATTGTCTAGAATTAAAAATTTACAGGGTCTTTAAAATAAGAGAGAGAGAAAAGAAAGAATTGGTTTTAAAAAAAATGAAAGTAAAAAAAAAAAAAAAAAAAAAGGAAGTATCCCTAGTCTATACTTTCTCTGTAACTCTCTTATTTTAAACACACATCAGCTTAGGATTCTGATACTGTGTTCTTTTACACGAACGATTCAATGTATATTTGTTCCACATATTCAATATATAGAAGTACACGGGACGGATTAATGTCACATCCTCTTGATCTTTCACCAGGCCATCCTAGCGATTATCCCCCCCCCCCCCCAAAAAAAAAGTTGAGATTTACTTCATATTGTATGTCACTCAAATTTCAATTCTTAAATTCCTTGGACAATTTATATTCAATTGAAAGTTTAGTAGAAAAGAAAGAAAGCTTAGGTGTATCTCTTCATATTTGCGAAGCTATATGTTGTTGTGTGAATTGACAGGGACTAAAGATGCTGGATCTCTATAAAGATGGTGCCCTATCAACACCACGTCTAATGTTTTTTTGAACTCTGATGCCCCTGTTTCATAAAAGAGTCTTAGAAAGTCTGGCCAATATTATCTTCCATCAATAACTATCACAAAAAGTCTCAAATCATATTGACAAACTGTTAAGTCTGTTGACTATTCTATTACCATGTTGATAAAAGAAGAGTATACCATTGTCAGTAAAATTGCGAATTAACTTACCTGTGCTGTGCATCACACAGGTGCAAGGACTAGTTAATATAAAATACAAGTTATAGAAAGTTCTAAATTTATAAATAATGCAATTTATTTTTCCATTCCTGTACAATAGGCCTAATAATATCTGGTTATCTGGGAATAGAAGACTCATTAAATGAGTGTTAAATTGTGTAAATTTAGCTGGTAGATTTTCAAGTTGCGTTTTCAGTAATTTTACCAAAGTATATGGAAGAGCTCAATGTTCAATTATATGGTGTGGCTGTGCAAGCCTCATTGGGACCACTACTCATGTGTGATAACGGATAAGACAGCATTAACGATATTTTGGCCTGAAATTTATGAAGATATTGAGGATAGTTTTTCATGTGGTGCTGAATTGGTTTCCAGATTTAAAGTTCCCACTAGTCCAACTAGGTCTGCTAGCCGCAATAGAAAGTAGGTTTACTGTGAAACAAAGTAGGCATACTTTTTCCCTTGAAAAGGGCAAGAGATAACTATGAGGTAATGCGGCTTCGTTATTGTGAGTTCGGCCTATTCTTGTCCAGTAACCATTCTGAGGGAAGCATGACGTATGGCCAAAGGGGAAATTATTGCTATTAGGCAACTACGCTTCGCTTCTCCAAGTCTCATTTAGATGAGAAAAATGGTTCTCATGACGCCCCCAAAAATTGCTCGAGAAAAACAAATAAAAATTAAATTCACACATGCCCCTCTCTTTTTTTATTTTTCTTGTGGTTTTTACAATTGGTTAAGGTTTATCAGCACCCAAAGTATTTTTTAGATGCGTTTAGTATTCTGTAGTATTTTTTTTGCCTTAGTGTTGGATCCACCAAAAATATATCTTTGGGTGCTAGGTATATCTAAAAAAATATCTTAAAGTGTTGGATGTATCAAAAATATTTGATAATATTGGATACACTACAAAATAAAAAATATTTGAAGATGTTGAATACACCTTAATTTTTTTTAATATTTAATATAATTTAAATACATGCACATTAACATGCCAGCATCAGTCTTGCATTCAGAACTTTATCCAGACATGTTATTAGTTAAGTAGCTGTCTGTCAATTTTTTATATTGATGAAGAAAGGAAAACATGAAGTAATAGACAGCGTAATGAACCAAAAGATAATGTTTTCTGAATTTTAATATTTCATTTTCCTTCCCTGAGAAAACCCGAGAAAACCAATGTTCCAAAACAAATGACCTCGTCCATCAACTAGAGCATTGAAACCCAATGTGAGAGAAATAAACACTAATTTTCCAATAATAATCTACCAAAATGGTAGCTTCTTCATTTGGGAAAATAACAAAATCAAAGAGGCATGAGAAAAGGCACGACTTCGTATTTCTTGATAACGAGACCATTGGAAACACATCATAACGGTAAATCGATCATTTCGCATTTCGCAGTACTGCCTCTCTGTAAACTCTTTTTTCCCGATAATAACCTACCAAAATGGTAGCTTCTTCACTTGGGAAAATAACAAAATCAAAGAGTCACAAGACAAGGAGCGACTTCTTTTGTTTCTTTTTCGGATAAAAAGACGATCGGAAAAACATCACAACGGTAACGTCTCAACGGGCCCCACTATTGATCATTTCGCGGTACTGCCTCAACGATTCCTGCCTCTGTAACCTCATCTCCTCGTTGAACTTCCTGATGAAAGCCTCTACTCGTCGATTCAACTCGTCCTGACTCAGCGACGGTTCTTTCCTCATCTTCGCGGATCCCGGCGACGAACTCGCCGATGAGTTATTCTCCTTGTAGGCTCGGCTTTGCTCGCTGAACATCTCCGACTTCTTCATCAGTTTCGAATTCGGAGGGGTACACCCGTTTCGGTCCCTTAGCGGCGTATCGTTACGGTGGTGGTTTGAGTCCCACGTGTCGGACTTCTTCAGGTGCCTGGTTAACGGCATAGCACGTCCCTCCGTCATCGTCCTCCACGTACTCTCCAGCGTGTCCTGCCGCTTCGGCCTCGCCACTCCCAACGCCGCTTTCCCACCTGGACCACGTTTCAAGGTTGCCGTTATTTCTTTTGCACAATGTTACCGTTATTTTTATTGCCCCTAAAAAAAAAATTCGGACCGTTGTGTGTGTGTGTTTTTTTTTTAATTTCAAATTTCAAAAACCTGTATTCTATTCCTGTTAAATGTACTTGTACGTCATTATTTGGAACTTAATATGAAGAATTATTTTCCTGTATGTTATACGATTTTTTTAAAAAAAAATTTTCTACTCCAGATCTCAAAAGTAAATGGCGACAGAGAAAGAGCTACCTTGGGGACTAGCCTTGGCAGCCTTCCGGTGGCCAAACCTAGCGGAAACTGGCGATCTATCGTCGTCACTAAGAGACGAGAAAGCCAACAAGTCCCTGCTCTGCATGCTTGTCATTACAGAGCTCGGCGCGTGAACGGAATCTTCGTTCGCGATTTCTTCATTTATGATCTTCGTCTTCTCCCCATTCGAAATCCTTTCCTGCTGAACCTCGGGAGCCATCTCCTGTACTTTCCAATCGTGAACGTAACCTTCCGAAATGACGCAGCTGAAGGCAGCGTAGTCGGTCCGTAAATCGCTGGAGATCATGTCCGCCTCAGAAACCGCTTCGTTGCCCACGTTGTAGATGGCATACTCCGGACGTATCTCGCCGGCCATTTTGACTTGATCGGTTGGAAGAACGACCGGTGGATCTGTCGAGCGAGCTTGATCATGGAGCTTGTGATTCATGAACTTGGAAGAGGCGGCGATACTGATGATTATGCAGTTGACGAGAATGTATAGGTAAGGAGGCCTTAACCATGTGAGGAAGAAGCTCCAAATGTTAGGAACATCGGAGACGATGAAATCCGAGACCAGAGGAACAGAGAACTTCAAAGTCACGGCCAAGGACATAACGCCAGTGGAGAATAGCACCACCTTGAGGGAGAGGACCCAGTTCGAGAAAGAAGCCATTGGTAACGGTTTTTTTCTTGGCGAGTTTACAGTTGTTTCTCCGGTGGCTTCAGTACTACTAGATGGCAGAATTTATGGGAGCATTGAGGGAGAAATGGAAATTTGGAAATGGAAGTGAAAGAGTGGGGCAAAAATATATAGGGGGGAAATAAAGCGATGGGAACAGAACGGTGCGTTTTATCAGGAGCGTTTGATAAGGACGCTTAAGCTATTCATTTTCGAAAATCGTGCAGCATGTGGGGCTCGGCATTATTCTCTTCTGGTGGGGATTGAACCTTTTGGTACGGTCTCGTTCGAGGACTACTGTTTTTTCCCCCTCTTTTTACTGGAAAGTGGGAGCAGTTTTTTTTTTTGTTTTTGGACCGGAAAAAAGTGGGTGCAGTTGGAAGAGGATCAGATGTATATTTGCTATCACTGAACTAAATATTGTAAATTAATTTGTGATTTACATAGTATTTTAAAACATTTTTTTAGTGTAAGTTTTTCCTGAAAATATTTTTCCAAGAACTTTAAAATTACGGATACTGAGTGTTATTAAAAAAATAATTTATATGTACAAAAAATAACTTTCAGATGCTATTATTATTAAAAAAATATTTTGTAGTATTAGATAAATTAAAAATTAATTTAACTAAAAAATCTTTTACAGGATACAAATTGAAACAAGCTATCAACCACTACTTCTTAACTTGGAATGGAGGATTAAAGATATAAAAATTTTCTTTTGAAGTTATCAGCTAGCTTAGCTAGTTGGTCAGTAACAAGATTTAAATTCTATGTGCAAGAGGGGGCAAAGACAGCTAGCTGCCAATCTTCTTGAACAAGATCAGCAAACGGGTGGTTAATATCACACTCAGCCTTTTGTAACATGGCTTATGGCTTCAGCACTATCCATAAATGCCTCAGTGCTTCTTAATTCTTAAGCCCTTAGACCAGCAAAAAGTAAGACCATGAGTAAGCTAATAATTTCAGTTATGGTGGAAGGAACAGAAGAAATTTTGCAGCTACACCTACTGACGCAGTAACCTGTTGCCTCTCACATTCACAATTCTAAATACTGCATTTTATAAAATAGTAATATATTTAAACTTCTGAAGTATTCATATAATCTTAACCTTCCATTTGATTATTGAACATTCACCTCGTACTTAAAATCTGTTTGATTGCCACAGTTTTGGATGGATTGCATCAGAAGTATCACACAGGAAATTTTATTAGATATTCAAGTTCCAAGTTATTCGAGAGGCAAAAAGAATTCATTGGCCAAAAAGAAAAATGTAATTGAATTGCATCATGCTTCAACTTTTACACGAAAAATATTAGAATGAAAAAGTTATGCTCACTCAAGCCTACCAATATTCAAATCTAATCCTATAAAACCAAACATTATATTATTATTATATTAAAAATAATTTAGTAAACACCTGAACAAATAATCAATATACTAATTTCATTATTGTGAATACACATTCTACAAAATAAGCGACCACTCGACACGAAGGAAAAAAAAAACTGAACTATTCTCTATGAAGCGAAAGCATTCTACAAATGGCTCCCCAACTCAACAGAATCTGGAGGAAAAGAAAGAACTGCACTTTCATTTCATTTAAACTAATTCTATACGATATATGACATAGTTGAAGGTGTCAAGCAAAAGCCTAATCACTGTTTGGCAAACATCCCTTGCGTTAAAGAGGAGAAGTCATAGTCCTTTGGCGCCTGTGAGGAGGTTGATGGCGACATTGAAGCTGCTGGCGGAGCTTTACTCGCTCCCATCGTCGTGACACCATTAACGGGTCTAGCCTGTCCCATTGTATAGAAACTGAAAAAGATCAAAAGAAAAAGGCAAGTTGGTCAGCATAGGATCTGAATTGGGAATAGTAAAAAGTTATGTATTGGCTTGAAAATCACAAGGGAAGTCTTCAGTGAATTTTTTCCTTTTTGGTGACAGAGTCTTCAGTAAATTTTAATGTAAAGGGAGGTAACCAGAATAGATGAACAAAGATCGGATGTTATATCTTTTCTAACCTATAGTCCTATTAAATCCATGGCAAGAGAATGTCCGATTGGCTATCTTTTGGAGGATGGAGTGTTTTCCAGTTCAAAATCATATTCAAAGCAGTGTAGGGACCAGCAACACTATCAGTTGACATGGTTTAAAATTTCTTCAATAATGCTAATGCAACAGCCTCAAATATAAAGAGGATACAAATGATAACAAGGTGCTGCATGAAGTCTTTATGACAGGAAACAAAACCCCTAAATAGCCTTTTTTTTTTTTTTAAGTTTTTTTACAGCAATCAGCAAGCAACGAGCACTTATTGAATTTTTGAAACTATAATGCCTTCTAGTCAGTAATAATCAGATCAGAGTAATTCTGAATTCTAAAAATATCATGTACCATCCAATCCAAGTCAAATTCTTATGAGTGAGGCAAACTCCAACTCACATGGCTAAAAGTAAACTAAGCAGTAACATACCTAGATGTTGAATACTGCACAGAATTCAACGCAGGATTTGCTGGAGTCGTGCTCCTAGTCTAGTTCAGAAAAGAGATATTTAGTTTCTGAATAGATAAGAATGAGCTAGTAATCGATTATTTCATACTTCCTTGTGTCAGTACCTGCATCAGTTTCTGCAGCTCTCCCTGACCAGCCATTGGCAATACTCCGGGAATTGGGTAACCGGCAGTGGGCCAACTTGGGACAGGAATATTGGATCCATTCAGTCCGGGTTGTTGCATACTACCAGGATACTTGGGGTTCCCACCAGCAGAGTTGGCTGAAGCAGCCATTAGAAGGGACTGTTGCTGTGCAAGCATGGCAAGCTGTTGCTGGTGCGCAGAAAATGGAGAGACCATGTTGGACTGCAGATAATCAATTCAACATGTCAGACAAAATCATACCCACAACAAATTTCATAGATGCTGACAGCAAAAATTCATTAATGTGACAAGACTACTAGAGATAAAATACGACAATAATGGAAAAATTACCTAACAATAACAGATATCCTACATTCTTTGCTTAGGCTAAAAATACACAGTTAGCAAAGAAGCACCATAAGTAGTAAGATTAGGATTATTTAGTGGCTTGTTAAAATGCGCTGCATACCTTTTCAAAGAGGCTCATGATATCATTCTTCAAATCTTTCGGAGGTTTTTCTGGAACTAAAGGAGTCACTGAAGGTGAGTCCTTAAATAGATCCTCAATTCCAGAATTAGACTTGGGAGTGCTCTCCACTGCTTTTGTGGAACCAGTCTTCCCAGTTGTCGATGCTTCTGCAGCGGCTGAAACAATTATAGTAAGCATAAATTGCCTCAGCACAAAATAAGAAATGGTCTCTCCAACGCATAAAGGGTCATTCAAACAAAATATTTCATAATCACCAGAAGAATTTGAGACACCAGATTTTACTATTCTTTGAAATAGTATTTTTTTTTTGGTTTTTTTTTTTTTTTTGGGGAGGGGGGGCAAGGTAATGACATACACTGAAAACCTTCCCAGTTACTATCGCCAGTAGTAGTACCAGCTTCCTCTGTGCCATTTTCACTAGGGCCATCCATGGATAACAAGTTGAAAAGGTCTGTAGCATAGTCAACTTTTGGAGGGGTATTCTGAGCCACATCAGCAGCTTGTTTTGTTGATTCAGCTTGCAGTTTTGGAGCCACAGGTTCCACTTTCTCTACACGCTGAGGTTTTGCAGGAGTTACCTGTTCGCAGATTAGTTCTTTTAAGCAACTACAGTATTTATGGTTTTAAATATGAAGAAATGTTAAAAGCTCATGTTTAGTTGACCAATATTATCTTCAACAACTATCATAAAAAGTCCCCGCCAAAAGAAATTTCCTAGAGGAAATCTCCATGTTACTTTTAAACTTGTAAACTTCAGATTCTGAAGCCCTGAAAAGGAAAGACTTATCTTTTTCACATCAGGTGTAAATAATGGTGGAAAAAGCTCCCATAGATACACGGTGTACACAACTTTAGTGACAAGAAAGTGTTAAAGATATCATTCAATGAGTAGTTAGCATCACTTCGGCCATCCTATTTTCGCTCCTTGTTTTCTTCTCCAATAATTCCTATGGGAACCCCTACCACACTAAAAGCCTAATTTTACATGCACAAAACCCAAATGAAGTTCCTTAGATGTGCGTCATTAGGTTCAACACTAGATGTAACATGGGCAAGATTTTCATGTTTATTTTTTAAAAAAAGACCAAACCATATGGAATGCAACATAAGAAAAGGTAAAAAACCAAAGTGGAAAGTAAACTAACATATACAACAACAACGATTTATACAAATGGACAATATACCTGTTCAGGTGCTTTTGGAGGAGCAGGAACATTATTCCTTGTTGCAGGAACCGTATTTGTTGCCTGAATTTTCTTCCTTTCATGAAAAGTGTTCTCAGGAGCAATTGTATAACCATGCCCACTTCTTTCTGCAGACCTCTGCCAATTTGAAGAAGCCCTGTCGTCCTGCTGCCTAGAAGGTGATTTTAGTTTTCCATCCCTCGGAATCCATCTCTTCTCTTCATATCTTTAAAAGTATGCATTGAGTAAAACAAAAGGAAAGTCATCTTCGCTGGGTATAAAACAAGACAAATATACTTCAAACAATAATAATATAACCCAAGGTGTTTAACTTCAGAATCAGACATACTTTGCACGAATAAAATTCTCTATTCCAACTCTATCATAATTTGGGGGCAGTTCTGCTTCCCAG